CCAGGAGTGAAGATCGGGGAGGTGCCGGAGATGCGGATAGAAACAGAAGAGAGACACAGCACCGGATACGAAGTGCGTCACCAGAAGCTGGTGAGTGCAATACAGACGCACGCACACACTGCCGTTACCCATCAGCACCTAGGCTGCATGATGAGGCCGGATTGCAGGGGTGCAGCTAGGCATGGAGAACAGGCCAGGAGAGTCTGACTGCTGTGTGAAGAGCCGGACCCCCCTTCACCTCTCTTGCCTTCAAAGGCATCCTAACATCCTTTGATTACAGACACTCCCAGTCTGTGTGCGAGAGTAGCCCAGTATTACTGGAGCTAGACAGTCTGCTTCCTGATTGGTTCCTGAGGCAAGGGGAGTTCTCCAGCCCTGGTTGCTAGGGAGAGTTGTCACGGCAACTGTGGCCCACTAAGACACCCTCATCCCACTGTGTGCTCTTCCTTGCTCGGCGCAGTCGTAACATACTCTGCTGTGCTCTTTCAGCGGTGCCTCCACGGGCTATCTGTGTGCATTCGTGTCCGATTTCTCGCTCTGCCTCTCCCAGGTGTTCTTCGCTGAGGATGTGGGCTCCAACAAGGGTGCGATCATTGGCCTGATGGTGGGAGGCGTTGTCATCGCGACTGTGATCGTCATCACTCTGGTGATGCTGAGGAAGAAGCAGTACACCTCCATCCACCACGGCGTCGTAGAGGTGAGGGAGTGAGCTCTAGCCTGTACCTGGTGTTGCCACGTGATCATGCCCTTGCGATGTTGACCTCAGAGACCGCCAGGTGCCGTCTGAGTCAAGCTCTGCTTTTCCTGTCCTCCTCCTGTCTCAGGTGGATGCTGCAGTAACCCCCGAGGAGCGCCACCTCTCCAAGATGCAGCAGAACGGCTACGAGAATCCCACCTACAAGTTCTTTGAGCAGATGCAGAACTGAGGCCATCTCTCGAGCCCTCCTCTCGCCTCTATGTGACCCCCTGATGCCCTGCACTGGGCAGAGGGGGACCTCTTCCCCCTTTCCCGATGCCCTAATCCCCCTTCCCGCTTGAATCTCCTAATTATACTCCTCTCCCTCTAGCCCCAGCCTCCCTCTTCCCCCCGCCCCCCAGACTGACCTCTGTGTTCAGGGCAGCGTGGGCAGCTCTGGCTCACAGCACACTCACTGTGGCCGAACTGTCCTGGAGTCCGCCAGCGTCAGCCAGCCACACCGTTAGTCAATCGGTCAGTATCGGCCACCCGTGAGCTGGCTGACCTCGCAGTGTGTCAGTCGGATTGTTCCCCCGCTCTCCTCTGACAGAGGCTCGACTACCCCGTTGTCCGGGGGGCATGGCTTCCCAGCTGCACGTCTGTGGTGATTGGATGGGTTCCGAGAGGCTCTTCCGATAGGCTCCTCCTCTCCTCCACAGCAGCTGACCACTCCTCTATCCTCCTTGTCTCTATGGAGATGTCACAGAAACGTCCCTGACAACTTCTCAGGCCTGTCCAATCGCAGCAGCCTCGCGGTTCTAAAGCCACGCCCACCCCCCTCCCCCCTCCTCCACCACCCACAGGGGTGCGCCAGTTCTGTGGCAGTGAGTGCGTCTCTGCGTCAGGGCTTGTGTAGTCCACACTGGCCTGTCCAGCCTGGCCCGGCACTCTGGGGGGAAAGGTCAGGGGTTGGTCAGAAACACTCTGTAGCACTACAGCCTCTCTACCTGTTCCCTCTCCTGCCCCATCTCTCTCTCCCTCCCTCTCTCTTGTCCTTCTCTTGGTGACAGCTGTGCTGTATTCGACCATGCAAGGTTCTCAATGGAAAAAAAAAAGTAATGTACTCTTCAACGAGCTTTTTATTTTGTTAATGTTGGTTTGTTTTTCCAAAAAAATAAAAATGAAAAAAACAAACAGGAAAAAAAAAACACTGAAAGTAAAAAAAGAGAATCCAAACTGAATGTTTTTTATTTGTGTGTAAACGTATTAAATTAATGACCGAGGCTAGCTGTAACTATTTAGTGCATGTCAGAAAAAAAAAATACTGATAAAAACGGTTTTTGTTCTGCTCTCTGGACTCGTACTTTCTCCTGTATAGACTGTGTACTTTTAGCAGGATCGTAAATCTAGTTATCTTCTTGTGATCACGTGATTTCAGCCAATTCTGAATCCAGTCCGCTGTTGTTTCCATGGAGACGTGCTTTAAGAAATCAGCGCATCGTGATTTTGTTTTTTCTATGCAGGAGCCCCCCCTGCTGGCCAGAGCTGGTATCATACAGGAGGCGGGGCCGTGGGGGGGTAAACCTAGACTAGCGGTGTTTCATTATCTGAATGATTTTGTTGGCTTACTATGCATTCTCTGAGAGATTATTGTTTAGGGGATCTTTTATTTTCAGTTTGTTTTGGCCAAGGGGTGGGATTTGTGAGTGTGGGGGGTGGGGGAATTGTCCAGTTTACATTCTCCATCCTAGTTGTCTCTGTCTTTGTGGATTTCACACTAATGTAAAGAGGAAGATGTTCTTCCGATTTTCCTCCCTTTGTCTGTTCTTCCTCTCCGTGTCCGTGATATCGACAAGTATTCCGGGTGGGGGGGAGGAGTGAGGGAGTCCTGATGGGAAAGAGGCCCTGTTTCCCACTCCTCCTCCTGTCTCACTCTCTCTTCTGCTGCCCCCCCTCTCTACCCATATTCTTCACCCCGACCCAGAGGTCAGTCTAGCCTAGCCCCTGCCCCACAACCTGGGACCCCCATGTCCAGGACTGGAGTACTGGGGCCACCTCGTGTCTCCCCCTGCCCCCCATATGCACTCATGCTATCGGAGGGTGTCGACAAGCCCTGTCTTGACCTTTCTGCTGTTGCTCAACACCCCACACCCCTGTAGGCGGCAAGGTGTCCGTTGGAGACCCCTCCTTCAGGAGTCTAGGTGCGAAAGTGGCTCTCCCTCTGGCGTGCGTGCGTGCGTGGGTGCGTGGGTGGGTGGTGCTTGTCTTGAACGACCTCAACCCTCAGTACAGCGCCTTTGTGGCTGGACGGTGCATTGTGGGCCTGTTGAAAAAACTGGGGGTGGGAGGCCCTGCATGCGACAGTGTGGCAGTTCTGTGAAGTGAGGACTTCACAGGTAGTGTGAAGGTGTGTGCAGGGTGACGGCGTGACCGTCGGGCTATGAAGGAGTTGGCTGCAGTGGTCTGCCCCAGGCGTCAGTGGAGAGCTGTGTTGTTACTGTGGGGATGAGGTGGGTTCAGCTTTGGTGTGGCTCAGACAAGTGCTGGGGTGTAAGGCAATTGAGGCAGCAAGTTCAAGTGCTCCCTGAACAATAATTGGACGGGAGGCCTGTGTCCACCCCTCTGCTCCCTAACCTTCTCTCTCCCTCTGCCCCTCATGGGGTTAATTGGACTGCTTATCAGGACGTAACTCGGAACAACTGAAAAACTGTTGTCCAGGCTGTTGTCCAGAACCTTTTGTAATAGCTACTTCCATCGGGAATGGAGCATGTTATGTTTTTTCATCATCAGTGCTAAAACAAAATGGCGGAAGGAAGATATGGCTTCGGCTCGGTGGAGCCGCCAACTAGAGCGAGTTCAAGCTCGAGTAGAGTTTTAAGCTGGAATTATAAAGGCCAGAAGACCCTGCCGTCCTCCTCAGATGGAACTTATCAACCGTCTGCTCGGGTTGTAGGTGCCTTGGAGTGGGCGTGTCCCCTTCCAGTCTGGGATCCAATCGGAAGCCGGAGCCCCACCCTCATGTGTGATTTGACCCTCAGCAGTGGGTGGGGTTTCAGGCCTGTCCCAAAGCACAGGGGGGGCATTGCAGAAAGTGGTAATATACTCACAGGACTCTCCTGCACTGTGTGGATTGCAGAGGCTTGTGTTTTGATGCTTCAGTCATTCTTGATGATGAATTGTGGTGACTTACTCCCCTCTCCTGTGGTGTGAGACATCCATGGGTGGGGAAGAGGGTGCAGGGAGCAGAAGGGAGTGGAGACAGTAGGGTCTTCTCTGTATCTCTGTGTGATTGTACAAACATTGCTTTGACTGGGAAAGCTTTCTACACTGTATTACATAAATAAACTTCAAAAATACACTGTCCTGTGCTCTGGGTCTTCTGTGGATGTCTGTGGTACACGTGTGTGCTGTTGTGGTGTGCGTTACAGCACGTCTGCGTTTTTTTTTTTGCATTCTTGTGTGCGTTTGGCAGTGGAAGTTGGATAAAATTGGGTGATTAATAATAATAATTGCTTCTTTCAAAGCGCTTTACAGGTAGTGGGGACTCCCCTCCACCACCACACAATGTGCAGCATCCACCTGGATGATGCGACGGCAGCCATTGTGCGCCAGAACGCTCACCACACATCAGTGGGGAGGACAGCAGAGTAATGTAGCCAATTCATAGATGGGGATTATTAGGAGGCCATGATTGGTAAGGGC